CATCAAAACCAACCCTACTGGTGGCAAGGTAGCGCTATGGATTCAGGAGGACCAAGCGACAGTAGGAAGGTGATGTCTGGACTTAGGAGAAGCAGAAAAGGAAGTAGGGTGAAGAACTCACAAAAAAAAAGGAATGGAAAAGAAATGCAAGTTTAGCTGAGAAGGAGAAGTAATGGGGATCCTACCAGAAGCAGACATCTTTGGATATGAGGTACAAGTAATGGGCAGACACTAATTTGTTTTAGGAATTAGGGGGATGTAGCTGAAGCTGACTGGGTGGGCAAACTAATTTAAGACATTTTTTTTTTATCCAAATGATGCTCAGCCTTAAAGAAGGTACACTGCACTTCAAAGCCCTGTGAAGAACTGATCAGGAAGACATGAATTTTTATTGAATCAGATCATCAATCCCAGCTCATATGAAGCTTTGTGTTTTCTCTGTTAATTCACATTAGAAGAAATTCAATACAAATTTAAGAATTTTTACAAACTAAAATGAAAAACAAGTACTGGAAAGGTAGAGGAATCAGAGTAGTGCCAAGAAATCTATACTGGTAATGAAATTGCTTGGGGAAAGTAAAATCACATTTGCATTGTTTTTCAAAGGAAATAACTATAGAAGGCTTGTTTGTCCCTAGGAAAACTAATGGTAACTCACTCACGTAATAATTTGTTAATTTTTGCTAAAAATACTCTTTCTCTGAGATTGGCTGAATCAATTGAATGACACTAGGGATGTGTCTAAACTACACCCCTCTGCCAACAGAGGAATGTAGATTAGGCACATCACTATTGCAAATGAAGCGGGGATTTAAATATCCCGTATTTCATTAGAATAGAAATGGCACTTTGCCCGCAAAAAGCAGCAGTCTAGATGGGGATTGGTCGACAAAGAAAGCCTTTTCCAACTGATCCTGTAAACCTCGTTGCACGAAGCATAAGGGATCAGTCAGAAAAGGCTTTTCTTGTTGACCGATTCCTGTCTAGACAGCCGCTCTTTGCCGGCAAAGTGCTGCATCGGCAAAAAGCGGCGGCCATTTCTATTCAAATGTAAGCATGGGATATTTAAATCCCCACTTCATTTGCAATAGTGATGTGCCTAATCTACATCCCTCTGTCGGCAGAGGGGTGTAGTTTAGACACACCCTATGTTATAGCACCTTAGTGTGTCAGCAGCTTGAGTCTAGCTTGAATTGTTATAGACTGAAATGCTACCATCTGTTCAGTTCTTCAAGTAAAACTGGGCTGTGGAGGGTCTTCGTCCACTTCCTAGTCTACATTACAGAATTCAACTGCATCAATTAATTCCTTTGTCTCATGAAAAGACAGACCACAGATTGGCTGGGCATAGAGAAAGAACTTAGAAAGCAAACTTGCTAGATAAGGGTTGACACACATTAGGGGTGCCTGACTTTACTATCGCTGCCCACATTTAAATACTGAATGCCTGCTCTTGTTTGATAGAATGTCAAAAAAAGAACTGGGCAGAAACAGAACAGTACAAAGCTATAGGAGAGGCAGCTGTTGATATCTGACAGAAGCTATTCAAGACTGAAAAATAACCCAGGGAACTAGCTGTAACTGGCGTTGGTAATATGCATTCTAGGTGCTTGTACTGATTTTAAGAACATACAAATCTGAAACAGCAGGGCTATCAAATGACACTGAAGTATAATGCTGAATGTCAGATCTCTGCAACACGCTAAGGTAATGCTCGAATATTAATTTCTGGACTCTGTACTTTAATACAAGGTGTACCAAAAATGTGAATTGCTATAATATTAGTTATTTATAAAAAGACGATCTGGCCAGTACAGTCCTTTCTGAGAAGCTACACTATTTCCTTATACTTTTACTAGGAAATAATTGTGGAATCTGTTAGCAAACATTGACTTTTTTGCGATGAACACTAAATTTCAGATAAATAGTCTGGCATTACATTAAGACAAAACCCAAATTCCTTACATAGCTAGAATTCTCATTGGCTTCAGCACCTGGCCCATTGTTTAAATACAGCGGAAGCTAATGGCTTATAACAAGATGGCATGACTGTCTTCACAAAAGCAACTCATAAAGGGCCAAATGTTAGCGTGCAGACGATGCACAGACAGAGGTTAATGATCGCCCCTGCATCTCCTTGATCTTCCTATATCCTCTGTATATGGATGGTCTTCCTGAACCAAGTTAGAACAGCCTGAGGGCACTTTTTACTTTGGGGCCAAATCAATGTGTTGTTCATAATGAAGTTACAGTGGGTTTGCAGCTACAAGCAGTGAGTATATGTGCATGGAAAAGTGGTAATTTCAAACAGCTTAATTTCCCTTATACAGGCAGTCCCCGACTTACGCGGATCCGACTTATGTTGAATCCGCAGTTACGAACGGGGCTTTTCTCGCCCCGGAGGACACAGACTGCGGGCCCTCGCGGTCCCGCCACCCGTGTACTCCGGGGCGAGAAAAGCTGCTCCGCGTCTCCCTGGTCTGCATACCAGGAAGACGCGGATCAAAGCCGCGGAGGGGCTTGGGCAGCTGGG